AGGAATATGACTGTGCTGGGAACAGAGCAAGGTCGGGGTGGTTTACATAAACTTCCTCTCCACCCATAGTTGTAAAAGGTTGCTATAATTGAGCATTTATAGGAAACAGACGGAAGTTAAAGAGACCTGGGAGTACTTACGCAGCCAAACACATGTCTTGGAACCTGCTGAAAGCTTGCCTGGAAATTCATTTTAATAATGGGAGAAGCACTGGATTATTCTGGTATTAATCTTTAACCTCTGCAGTCCAAGCCCAGCTTAGTTTTAGGAGACTTAAACCAAGAGGGTGGCTTATCCCTGCACTGTGTGTTGTGGGAAGTAACGCCCGGAGCACGTACGGTAACTGGTCGGGATCGTTCATCTTTAGCCTTTTTCCTTTAAGTTCTCCTTGGACTTGGATGCTTCCAGAGCCAACATGTGAGGGAATGGCTTGTGCTGCCATTCACTGTGGGCAGAAGCCTCACAAAAGCCACTACGTCACTGTCTGGGGTCAGGCACTTCAAAAAGGAAGGAAAGAATTGCCAGGATTCTCTGCTATGGAAAAGACAGCTTATCTGCTTCCTAAGTTACAGCTGGATCTGACTCACACACTTAAGGAGAGACTTTTGAATAGGGAAATCTACCTCTTTCTCCTTCTGAGATGACAAGCAAGCTGGTACTTAAAAGGCTGCTGTTCCACTGTGGATGTACTGGTGAGATTCACGTAAAAGCTATTTATTTACATCAGAGATGTTCATCAAAAGATGTGACAAGTACAGCATGAATGATTCATTCCCATCTCTGCACTGCTTTCCTGTTAATCAAGGAACAGTCAGATCCATCCAGCTGGGCTTCACTTCCGTATGGCTTTTCATGGTATCCTCTTCCTCCAAGCCTGTTCAGCCTGGCTCTCAGTGTCCCAGCTCTGCAGCACATTCCTGCCAACTGATGATCCTGCTGGGCAGTGGAAGTCATGATGCTTGGTTTTCTGTGAAGGAGAAGGAGCTGCAGCTCTGCTGAACTCCCTGTGTATTTTTCCTGTGGGGGAGATGATGGAGAAACAGGCCTTCAAGCCTTAGACTTGACTCCCAACATTGCAGATTCTAAACTCCAAGGCCATGCTTCCCTCATTAAGAATATTTGGTGTTTGAAATCTTCTTCCAGAGCAAGGTCTTGAGGTTGTTCAGCACGAGGGAGTGGTGGACTTCCATCTGGCTGGCCAGGCCACTGAGGGTCATGCAAGTTCGGAGCTGTTTCTGCAGCTCTTCCTTCAGCTCCAGCGGTGCTCCATGCAGCAGGTAGTCCTGCAGCAACCCGCAGACCTTGGCCAGGTTGGGCTGCACCATGTCACTTTTGCACTGCTTCAGCAGTTTGTCACAGGCAGCCGTGCAGTCCTTCCCGTAGGTGCAGTCCACGTTCTGCTCACAGTGACGCCCCTTGAGGAAACCTCTGATTGTCATCTCCGTTGCCACCTTCCTCAGGTTGACCATTTTGAAGTCGTACTTGTCGTTGTAGCCCACGTTCCTGAGCCCTGTCTCACAGATGTAGAAGTTCCCATAGGTCCCATGGAATATCTCCTCCACAAACTCCAGGAGGCCGATGGCGATCTTGGCGCGCCGGGGCCAGGCTGGCGCGAACCACTGGTGGATCATCTGGTGGAGAACTGAAGGCAGCAACGACTGGAAGAAAGGGGGGACATCCACTCCGTAGAGGGAGGTGTGAGGGATCTTCTCGGTGACGTAGAGGTCCCCGCAGTGCCCCAGCAGCTTGGAAGTGTGCTCCTTCTCGTGCAGGGAGAGCATGAGAAGGAACTCGTTGAGCTGAAGCAACGCCCAGATGGATTTGGCCTCTGCTAAAGACACTTTCCCATCCCGGTTCACGTCTGCCATGGCGATGATCCGGCTCACCAGGCCTGCAAGAGAGGGCTGATCTCCCAGGTTGGACTGCAAAGAGAGCAAAAAGTGGCATCAGGCCCTCCCAGCTCCCTGTGCTTGGGCTCAGGATGGTGAAACTGAACTGGGGAAGCGAAGAGCTGAGCTTGGGAGAGGAGGAAACAGCCACTGCACCCCAGCAAATACCATGCTGTGCCATGAGGATGGATTCAGCTCCAGAATTTCACCACCTCAGGGCTGCTCTAGACATGGGTGGCAACAAACTTCTGAGAGTGAGGGTTGGGCAGGGCTGGGCTCCCAGGGCTGCAGCAGGAGCCCTGCACAGGGCTGGTCACTAAGCTCCAACCCGCAGAGATCAGAGAGTCACAGAATGGTTTGGGTTGGAAAGAAGCTTAAGGATCATCTAGCTCTAACCCCCCTGCATGGGCAGGGACACCTCCCACTAAACCAAATGCCACCTGCAGCCCTGGTCCAACAGCAGCCCCCAGAGTTGCTGCTATTAAAATCTTGCAAACAAGGGTTCCTCTGTGAGAAGGGAGGTTTTGCTCAGCCAGCCCAGTCCCGGGCTCTGCAGTGTAAGATAAGGAGCCCTGCCTGGTGCCCAGCAGCTGCTGGGGAGCATGGGCCAGAGGAGTTCTCATTCAAGGGGAAGGAAAGACGTGTTTAGTCTCCCTAAACCAGCAGTGGCATCCCAGGCCCACAACACCCCAGAGAGACCCTCCACACTGACCTTTAGGAAGTTCAGGAGCATTTCTTTGAACTCATCCATCGATGTTCCTCGTGTCGGTTTGTCAAAGAGGACCACATCCCTCCTGGGCACAGAGTCGGGGTGGCTGTCTGCCTTCAAGGCTTCTTCGATGCCACATTTGATGATCACCTCCGTGTCCCTCCAGAGCCCACCATAAACCTACAGCAAGAGGAGAGGGGACACGGCAGAGCCAGGTGGAAAACAACAGCAATTGCCAAGAACTGGTTTCTGGTTTGGGTTGGGATGGGAACTGGGGATGTGGTGAGGAGCAGATGTGTGAGTGGGTGGAAGAGGACATTTCCCAGGTTTAATGCTTGCACCCACCCTGTGTGGTGGTTTCCCCAGAGGGCAGAGACCTACCTGCTGAGTGGGAGAGGAGGAGAGGCAGTGCTGGAAGAGGAGGCTGTGCTCCTCACACAGGTCTTCGCAGGTGGAGCCGGAAATTATTCCTTTCTTGTACTGGTCGCACTGGGGAGGGGAAGGCAGAGAGAGAAGCTCAGCTGGGACAGTTCCTTGTTTGCCCAAAGAAGTCTGACGGATCCAGGCTCAGTCTCCCAGCTCATCATCTGAGGCACCCCAAGCACATGAGCTGGGGGTGTGTGAGCACCCCCAGGCTCCCTTGCTGCCACCAGTCTAATGCCTGTCACCTGCCATGCCCAAATTCCTCAACCCCCATTCCTGCAGCAGGGCTGGTGCCAGCACCTTGGAATTTCAAAGGTGGGGCAGGACTGGCAGGGTGTTCCCAGGCTGCTGGAGGGACCACAGGGGTTTCACTCCTGGTTGGCCCTGCTGCAAACCCAGAGGGTCACAGGGAGCTGACAGGGCTGGAGCCAGATGGGAGGAGAAGGAAGCACGAGTGAGGTTGAGGATGCACAGGTTCAGGCAGCAGCCCCTGCTGCAAAATGGGCTGGCCCCAGTCCAGGAGGTGACAGTGACAAGGACAGAGAGTGGCTCTGCCCAAGCAGAATGACTGGGTCAGGAGCTGGAGGCCTCCCTGGACAGGGGAGGCAGCAGCTCTGCAGCTCCACAGCAAGGGCACAACAGCCCAGGGCTGGAAACTGGAAATGCAGAAATCCACTGCATCATTTCCTTCTTTTTCTTTTTTCCCCTGATGTGGTTGGGAATTAACCCTTAGACCTGCTCCCTGGGGACATGGCCAGACATGGTGCCTTAAACCCCGAGTTCAGAGCAGAAATTAGCACCAGAGACCCCATGGTCAGAGTCATGCAGAAAATCAAATTAAACAATCGTCGCTGTTGTTATGGCAATTCCTGCCTCCCTCCTCTGCTGAGGGATTGATGAACGAGGCATTTTCAGCCACAGCCTGGCCTCCCTCTCCTTGCCTGGGCTGGAGACCTGATCCCCTGCCACGGGCACACACCACAGTCCTGGGGGAGCCCCATGATTGCTGGCCCCAGGGATGCTGTAGGGAACAGGCTGCACCCCACTGTGAACCCCAGGCAGGGGCAAAAGGCACCAAGTCAGGCTGCCACGCAGGGTCTGCTCACTGTGCAGGCTGCTGCTTCCCTTGGGGCACACCAGCAGTCACAGGGAGGTACCCACAGCCTGGCTGCTCCCCTTTCTTTCTCTGGCTCTGTGGAGCTCGGGAGGGGGAGGGCTGGTGTGATGCTGTGTCTACCCACAGATCCTCATCTCTGCCCTGACATTGCAACTTCATCTCCACAGACATTAATCTGCCCACGTCTGCCTGCCCTGCCCTGGCTTGCTTCCCTCCAACATCTCATTAAATCGTTCCGCCGTCGCTCTGGCAGGATAAGGTCACCTCTCCTGCTCTGAGCTCTGCGTGATGCTGGGGAAGCAGCTGCCAGGAGGGCTCCCTGGATGTTGCCTGCCCGGCTGCAAAGCACTGCAGAGGGGCTGGAAATGGGGGTCCTGCTGCCCCCCACACACCCTAACCCAGCGCCAGCAGGGCTGCTGGCCACCACTCACAATGATCATCTGGCAGACGTGGCCACGGCAGAGCTCGGAGTAGGAGGAGTAATGCATGTATGCCACCCAGCTGCCCACGAAGATGCCCAGCCACACCACCAGCAGGTATTTCACCTTGATGCCCGGGAGGCGACCCTGGAAGGAAGAGAAAATGCTGGTGAAGGCCAGGGCTCTGCACAGGTCAGCAGTGGCTGGACAAGGATGACTTCTTCTAAAGAAACCAACTCGAGCGTTGATGAAACCTTCAGCCTTTTTTATATATATATTCACCAGTCCATTATGCAAACTCCTGCTGCAAGTAGGTCACTTAAAATTCCCTAAAAGCAGGGAGATTACAGTGCTGGGCTGTGAAGAGTGGGCTGCTGTGCATCCCTGTGCCCAGCAGCCACGTCTGTGTACACCTGCTCTTCTGCCAGTGCAAGAACCCCAGGGTTCACCACCAGGGCTGTGAGATGCTGATCTGCTGCTGCCTGGGGGTGGCCCTTCTCAGGAGAATCCCCCTTGCAAAGCCCCACAACTGCTGCCACCAGCTCCCGCGTGGGAGCGGGCGAGTAATGAGCCTGGAAGCACATGGATAATACTCCGTGCAAACATCTCAGCAGCTCCCAGCATGATTTTCTTTCCCTGGCTTCGTTTCTTCCCTTCTGACCCTGTAACTGCAGTGCTGCTGCCATCTGGCCTCCCTGCAATATAGGTTGTTTACCTGACCCATATAACACAGCATGGATCCCCAGCGGTTCCTAAGGGCAGGGAATTGATCTTTGCATCAAACATCACATCCCCTCCAGTTCCTGTAGGCAATTCCTGCTTCACACCAGGCCACGAGAGCCCTCAGCCAGTGGCCACCTCCAAACCCTCCTCTCCCCTTGCACCACATCAGACAGTGAGACCATGACCTGCTGCTGGGATAGGCCTGAATCTGAGAGGATGTGGCAACATTACAGCCTGGCCGAGATCCTCACTTGGGTCTTGTATCCCAAGGCTGCTTCCACCTCCCACATACCTCCTCCCTGGCCACTTGCTGAGCTCTGTAGGAGCTCTGCCCCACAGCAGGATCCGGAGGCAGTGGAGCCCCCCAAAACTGCCCAGCAGTGGGTACATGACCCATCAGGCCCCCTGCCCCCAGCAAAGGGGGCCTTTCCATGGACTTCCCATTCTAGAGATACGTCGTGAGGATGCAAAGCCCTGGAATGGCCAACATGTTCCTTTTTGCTTATCCAGACCTTGAATCCATCAGGCTCCCAGGGCAGAAGGGGGACAGGACTGTGACCTGAGTGTGGGGAGCACTGGCCTCACCATCCCCTAAATGGTGGAAAGAAACAAGGAGGTGGGGGATGCACTGCAAGCAGAGGTTCCACTGCTAATATGTTGGATTTGTCACTGGAGCTGATTCCTCCAGGGACTGAGTCTCAAGGCACAGGGGCTTTCCTGCCTGCTGCCTTCCCTGCCCACTGCCTCAGCCAGCAGTCTGCAACACATGGTGCTACCCTTGGCTTGTGTTAGTTTTAGGGTGACCTGGGGGACCTGGCAGTGACTTTGGGTCAGAGCTGTTCAAAGGCAAAACGGACACAGCACCACAAAATCCTGCTCCATCCCTGCAGGTTCCCCTGCAACACGTTGGGAACGTGGGGGTTGTTTCAAGGTGGATCTGGCAGTGGGGACAGTGCCAGGGCTGACGTGCTTCCAGAGACAGCCTGGCGTGGCTGTCATCACCCCCTCCCATGGGGTATCCACACTGGCAGCTCCCATCTACCTTCACTCCCTACCTCCCTGCCAGACCCAGTCCCAATCCCCAGCCCCTGCCCCCCACCCTGGCCCCACACAGCTGCTCCTCAGGCCTTTTGTCTCAGAAGAAGACAGCCTGTAGGGGTGGCTCAGCAGCCTCAGGCCCATCTCCCCTGGGAGCAGAGCTGCAGCACCCATCCAGCTCTCAGCTGTCCTGGGGATGCACAGACCCCCCCTCTCCACGCTCCCCTTGGCCGTGCAGCACCCAGCTTTGCCCCTGCTCTGCACCCACCTCCTGCTAGCATTCTCTGCCCACCAGGTACCCTCCTAAGTGTCCCCCCCCTTCTCCCTTCTGGCAGGATAACCTCTCTGGTCCAGAACCTTCACCAGAGTCAGGGTTTCTCATCCCATGGCTGCAGAGAAAACACCCAAGCCAGCATCCCTGGCCCCATCTCACAGCATCCCTGGCCCCATCTCATCTCACAGCATCCCTGGCCCCATCTCACA